ATTTATCCAATTCGATAATTCTTTTTTTTTTTAAGTTTTCAATTTCCCGCTTTAAATTTGTTATCTCCCACTTTTTTAAAAGTAAATATTTCATTCAAAATTTTGATAATTAATCAAATTTTGTAAATTGATTTCCTGATTATAATTTTTGGCTTCCTTTCGTTTGATTAAGGGGTTTTTCTGGATTCTTCTTTCTCGATTGTTTAATTTTTGGTTTTGTTCTTTGGTCCATCTAAATCATTTGGAGCACAACAAAGAAAATAGAATCAATAACTAATTATTAATAATCAAAAAAATTTTAACAACATTAAATCAAGGATTTCGAAGTTTTCGGTATGAAATATTTTATTTTATTCAATTGCTAATATAAAATAATAATAATAAATTACCGAAATGTTTTTTATATTGTGTTTTAATATGTCCAAACGTTAAATTAAAGGACGAAAATCTTGTACAATTTCAATTTTATCATCCAACTTCTGTATTATCACCATTTTTTTATGAGGATGGCTTCTAACCGTTGCAATTGATGTAACATTACGAGGCCGTCGACCCAAAATATCCATCGTTGTATTTCCGGTTATTCAAATTTTTCGCAAATGTTCAAGCCTTGAACTTTAATATATAGGAAACAGTTGTTTAGCACTGTAGGAAAATTATTATCATTATTTTTTTTTAAAAGATAGTCAATGTAAGTTTATCAGCTATAACTTATATCAAGGTGATCCCCCTCGGCTCTTTTAGAAGTTTTAGATCCCAAGTAAAACAAAAACTTTATCGACCATTATTTAGAAACCCCTTTTGATTGCTCCCAATAGCAGCAGCGATATTAACACAACCAATGTTCTGAAAACAAAATTAAAGAAACAGAGAATTTGAGAAAATGGTTAATTTATAACATACTAACAAAATCCAAACCATTTTATTTTACAGTCTTCCTCCTAACATCGGAGCCCAAATGCAATTTCAGGGCCACCAACCTGCTCTAAATTGCAGCCTTCTGTGCTTGAAACGAGTTGCAGATTCTCTTAGTATTCCTCCAGGGTTGCGACTTGATCACAGAGCCATCATTACCCTAGAAGTAAAATCGTTGCAGGAAACTTTTCATCTATCATGCTGGCAGCCTTCACTGATGAGGTGCTGTGAGGGAAGATTAGTGAAAGTGTCATTGACGATTGATAGAGCTTTGATAAACTCCAGGGCCATGCGCCTCCCCTGGACAAAACTCTTCCCTATCTTCCCCACAGACCAGGCTGGCTGTTTCCATATGGGCATTGATCACTGATGAGAGTTGACATTCGTGTGATGATTGCTTTGTGTTATACCTCTCTAGAATAAAGTTGGTACCTGATTTAAAATTCTCCAGCTCAGAATGTTGCAACCTGGATTGCTGTTTTAGATTCAGAATTTTGAGTCCTGGATTGTTGTCTAGTTGGTGGCGCACCTACTCACCAACAACCCTACCCCCTTTAAATAACAAATACAGTTGGCCAAATAAAAATTAAACAGAAAATTTGGGAATGATTAATTTATATAACATACCAAACAAAATTCGATCCATTTTATTTTACAGTCTTCTCCCTAATATCAGAGCCCCTGTTCTGAATTGCAACCTCCTATGCTTGAAACGAGTTGCAGATTCTCGTTGTTTTGATGGACCTGGATGTTTACATAGCACTACAATTCATCTGCAGAGTTGTACTTGGTCACATATTCATCTTTACCATAGAGGTAAAATCGTTGCAGGTGACTTTTTGTCTAACATGACAGCAGTTTTCTCTGGTCTGGATGCTGTGAGAAAAGATTAATGAAAAGTGTCATGGGCGATTGATGCAGCTTTGATGCATTCCAGGACCATGTTGCCCCCCACTGGAATTCAATTGCATCATTGTATCATCAGGGGAATCTTGGTCAGATTAGCCTTTATACACAAGGAAGGTGTGTGAATGACTATATGGTGTTCAAGGTAGCATGCATGCTTCAACATCTGCCAATTTCCGATAATCAAACATTGCATGTCGAAATGTTTCTTCTGTGACAGTCATGCTGACTTGACATCTTGTAATTAATTATAAAATTAATATTAATAACAATTACGCAAAATAAAATACCAATCATTTACCATCTTGATAAGGATCTTATAAGATATGTTCCGCGTTTCATTTCCAATTAAAATATTTATAAACTAAAATAAAAATATCAATACAAGTAAAAAATAGTGCCTCCGGTTAGTTATTAACACAACTTCTTTAGGTGACTCACGTTTTGTCATGTAAAAAATAAATTGTTTTTCCAAAAAAAAATCAATTCGCGTCAACAAAAAAAAATGGGGTAAATAATAAGTGTACGCGCTTGTTGATCAAATAATTTTTTTTAAAAATTTAAAAATGCCTAAAGAAAATAAAAAAAGAAAAACCGAAAAAACATTAGGGTAGATTTCTGGGTAGTGTTTATCATAAGAACGATGGTGGTTATCGCCACTTGTTGTCACTCTAATTATAGTAAAAGTAAATCATTTATACGTATCGAACCGATAATTATTACTATCAAAATATCAGTCATCATTGTCATTATGAAGATTTGGACATTAAACGACATTGATATCGGAGCCAAATTAGGCAAAGGGGGATGCGATATCTTGCAAAAGAGCACACCTTTTTGCAATAAAAGTTACTCCAAAGTTAAAAAGTGATCAAGTCAAATAAAAAAAAGAAATCGAAATTCAAAACAATCTAAAGTATATAGATATATATGTTGGTATATACATATTTGTTGGTATTTTTGCAGAAATATGTTAACTACATATTACAGTGAACCCTCTATAAGTGCACCTCCCTCGGGAACATAGTGCTATTTCTTGTGAGCGTGCATTTATGGAGGGTGTGCATTTATGGAGGGTGATTTTATAAGCTCTCTATAAGCTTGGGGATGATATGGGCTGTGCATTTATGGAGGGTATACATAGTGAGTGCATTTAGGGAGGGTGCACTTAGGGAGGGTTCACTGTATGATAATAATTAATAATTTAGAGGCAAAAAAGCTCTATGCTTCAAACTTTGATATAAAATTGAGAGAAAATTTTAAAGATAAAATCAATAAAACTTTGGTAATAAAAATTTTTAGTTCATTCTATAAATTTTCTAAAAGATTGATAATTTAAATTTTCAAATCTAATTTAGTCACAAAGAGAAGACACAGAATGGATGATAAATGTGAATGGAAAAAGATATGATATTGTAAAAATGACATGCAAGTCCTTTGAAAAAACCAATGTTTTTAGATTAAATTACAATGAACCAATATTATCATACATAATTGACTTCACAGAATCAAATCCAATTGAAGACAATAGAAGAGAATGTCTTACATGAGTAACAAAACTTCCCAAAGATTTATATCAAGAATTTGATGTTTCCTCTATCACCTATCTGTCATATTTATATCAAGATCGAGAAAAGGTTGAAGAAAAGTTTCCCAAAATTAATAAAGAAGATTCTTTGTTTAATGAACATTATTTTATTTGGCAAATATGCTGCTTAATGTAAGTATTGATTCTGTTGCTCTCTCTTACATATAATTATATATTGAACTTATAAAAAAAACAGATTTAAATTATGGAATAGCAATGATTTCAATCCTAAACACCACAAAACATTTTCAGAAGGATCTTTCGAATTCTTGGGGCTGCGTTCGATTTATCACATTTTAGTTGAAGGACTTGGTAATGGTGTTATCCGTGTGTATGTAATATTTATTACTTTATATATAAATGGAGTTTTTATGGAAATGAAAAGGCTGCTCTTAACTGAAAATTAACCTGTCTTTGTTTTTACATCAAATTAACATTTAATACAAATTTTAGAGGTGAACAATCTTCTGAAGCTTCAAGATTGCGCAAAAAGAAATTAATAGAGAAAGAAAAAAAGCTCAGGCAACAGCAACAGGAACAGGAAGAAATATTTTTCTCCTATGAAATGAAAAAAATTGGGAAAAAGGCTGATTTTTGGGTTGAGAGTATACATGAAATAGGGTTGAAATAAGGTCGAAACTGATTCTTACTATGTAGTTGCCTCAAGTCAAAACATTTCGACTTTGGGGTTTTAATTTCGACTTCATGTATAGTTGAGAGTGAAATTGCTGAAAACATATATTAAATTATTTTTACCGAAACATCTGGTTCACCATTTCAAAAAACTCCAAAAGAAGACAAAATAAAATCAGATAAGAACAAACTTCTCAGATTTGCTTACGACTCGATGTACCAAATGATACATGAATTAATTCAAGAAAAATTGTGATTTTTACCAGATTCGAAAAAGAGCCTCAAGGATCTGAAAGATTTTGAAATATTTATGTTGCTCAATACTATCATAGATTACACACTAATACATATATTTTGTTTATCTGGAACTTGCTCTGAGCCGTTTTTATCCAAGGACAATTTTTTCAGTGAAATGCTTTAGAGATGGTTTCTGATATGCGGAAAAAGAATTTTTCGGTTAGTTTTCGGTTAGTTTTAGGTGCATATCAGGAACTTGATCTGAGCCGTTTTTATCCAAGGACAATTTTTTTCTGGAAATGCTTTAGAGCCTGTTTCTGATATGCGGAAAAAGATATCAGTTGGAAATTTCGGTTAGATTTTGGTTAGATTTTTATAATTGTTATGCTATTTGGCTTTCTTGCCAGGCTATGCTTCGTTCATCTATTCACTTCGCATAGCCCTTTTTAATGGGAATCTTAGCAGCATAAAATTTCGTTAGATTTTTTTGGTATCAGCTAGAATTTTTCGGTTAGATTTTTATAATTGTTATGCTATTTGACTTTCTAGCCAGGCTATGCTTCGTTCATAGATATTCATTACATTCATATCTATTCACTTTGCATAGCCCTTTTTAATGGAAAGCTGTGTAGTATAAAATTTCGTTAGATTTTTTTTGGTTAGATTTTTGGATTGCATAGTTTTTTAAGCTTTGGAGGCAATAAAAACGGCTAAAAGTTAGTTAGATAGTTAAGAAATCTATAGCCTCTACAGGCGTTTTCTGATATGTAAATAAATTTGGTACCAAAAATCGAACCAAAATGACGACTAAAATGCAAAATTCACCACCTTCGAGTGTGGCCAAAAATTCGGAATAAAAAACTGTTAGCTCTTTGGCCTTCCAGGCGGGACAGGCACATGGCTGCAGTGTTGTGACCAGAAACTCTTTTGGCTTCCCGAAACGTTTCGGAAAATGAACTTACACTAAGCAGAAAACTAAACCTAAACCTAAACATAAACATAAACTACTAACCTAAACTAGTTTCGGGTGGTTTCTGTTAGTTTCTGTTTCTGGTTTTCCCTAAACTCAGAGTTTCGGGTCACAACACTGCATGGCTGCCGTCGTGGTGGATTTTGTCCCAAAATCCTCACTTTGGCATTGTGTGGTTGTGGTGGTTTTGAATTTATTGGATAATTTTTGCCTAATTCTTTAAGTTCTTCCAATGTAAGAATTTTAAAATTTGGATGAGCACTTGACAATTCTTGCAAAATTGATCCATTTGCATCACCATCATAAATAATTAATTTAAGAGTTGAACATTTTCCAGCAACCTTTTTAACCATTGGGAGTAAATCTGCATTAGTAAATATTCCACTAACTTCTGCTTCATTCATTGAATGGAGAAGACCTTCTTCTCCGAGGGTGTCATATGCAGTCACAATAGTCATACTTAGTGAGAAACAACCTATGGATTAAAATGGTTTTGTAAGATCAATACTTTGTTACAATATTTTTTTATAATTAAATCTAGCAAAATTTTTACCATGAATTACAAGCATCCAATTGGCACTTATATATGTGACAAATAATAAATATCATATATAAATATAAAAATATAATTGGATAATTTTTCATTACCTTGTAGCAGCAAAGATTGCAACTTTAGATCCTTTATTTAAACCTAATTTTATCAGACCAGCCCCGATGGTTCTAATTTCTGATCCATATCGTTCAAGGTTGGTGACGAAATGTCTCCTTTTCGTCACATGACGAAAATAAATGTGACGAAATAGGGTTTTTACACTTTAAGTAATTTGACGAAAGTACGAAATCAACAAAATAATAAAATAAACCAATTATTTTGGAGATTTTAAATTATGGAATAAATAAAATTTATGATGTCAAATTCTAATTCACCCAATTCACCAATTCCTTCTCAATCATCATCATATAATATGAATTTGCAAACATTAAAATTAGATATACCTGAAAGTTCATTTAACAATAATCAAGAATTAGCTACAGGACGTCCTGTGTTTGATGTATGGTTACATTCCATTAAATAGTAAATGAAGAATCATTTCAACAATCAGAATTATCAGATGATTCTACAGATTTTGAAGAAAGTTATGAAACCAGCAATAGATGTGAAGCAGCAATTCCTACTAAAATTTTACGTACAAAAATTAAGTATCCAACCAAGAAACATCGTCATCTTTATCACAATTTGACTTTTGACTTTACCCTTTTCGTCACATTCGTCACATTTCGTCACATAAATACTTTTTACACTCCAAAATATTTGTCACCCAACCTTGGTTTACACATCAATTTTTACCGTATTGATTGCTGAATCAATTTCGTCTACCTGTTCAGAATTACACAAGATAATATTTTTTTATTCAATTAATAATATAAAGACCATTATAAAGACGGACCTATTGCTATTAATTATTATTGTTATTATTATTATATTAAAATCAGTAGCCATGAAATGTATTGATTTTTGGTGTAATATTTATTATATAATATATATAAATTTTCCAAAAATCACGTTCCAAAACAAAAAGTGGGGCTTTTTATAACACTATGCGTGTAAATAAATTACGTGTCATGTTTATTCCTTCTTAAAAGAATCACAAATAAAATAATATCAAGTATTATTAGAAGAGGCTTTTCTAGTTATTTACAGAGACATATTTGCAAAAGCAACAAATACATCTGATCTAAATGATGCATTCACCATCAAAAAAATTTTGATGATGAGACAAGTTTGCAAGATTACTTTGAAAACTTGTCCAAGTCAACAAATGGAATTTATAACAGATATCTCAAAACAATGTTTTGTTCGTAATAGAATTAAAGAAAACCGGTGGCAACTTTCCGAGTGGTGTTCTACAAGAAATCACACAGTTTTTACAATAAGCAATGGTTAACACAGAAATAAAAGATTAGAATCAATTGAAAATTTGATGATGATGATTAATAAACAACGGTATAACATTAACATTGGACTAGTATGGAGGGATCTATTACTTTCTAAAGGTGTTACTGATAAAATTTGTTACTTGAAATAGATTGCGAATGATTGACTAACCAACCATCCTATATAGTTTAATAAATTAGCTATGTAATAGTTGTGTAAATATTTAATCTTTAAAAATATTAAGATAGTATCACAATCACAATCAATAATCTGTAGACCCTCAATAGCAACGTTTCAAAATTTAAAGCAATTAGTTTAAATTATGTTCTAAAGAAAATTTTAAAATTAATATTAATGTTAAGGAGAAATACGAATTTAAATAAGCATTTTCTCCATGAAATTTAATTTTCAAAATGTATATGTATAATAAAATTTGAAATACTACAATTTTTTAGTTAGTCTAAGAAAAATCTAGCGATAAGTTTTGAAGCTAAAATCATAAACTATAAAAACTTACCAGTTGAAGTTTTTGAATTTTTTGTTTTAGCATTTAAAGGTGCTATTATATCAAAAAAAAAAACTATAAAGTGAGATATAGGGAAAGAAAAACAGATTTATCATGTTTTCACACTTTAATCATCGTTAAAAGTCATTATTCTGAGAATAAGTGACTGACTAGCCGAAAAATTATGCTAGTTGCTTTGCATTTTCAGATCATCTACTATCTCCCTACAAAATAGTGAGGTTTAAGAAGATTTAACTTCTTCGGAATTGTGGCTGGGAGCTTCTTTTTCACATTACAGGATTACAAGATCCCTCTTTGCAATGATATATTTTGGCCACAAAAAAGTTGAGTGAGAATGTTGTGCGTGAATTTGATAGTAATAGCATAAAATACTGAAACGTATCTTAATATTTTTGACACCAAAATTAAATTTTTTTTTTCATATAGTAAATAGTGTGGTATGTTAGCGTATTGTTTTTATTATATTCGTTCAATTTATATATTTCTATTTGGAGGTTTTTTTAAGCAGTGGTAGTGGTGATATAGGAATAACTCGTGTGTATATATGTTTATCAATGGTACACGTTCCATATGAATCTTGATTTTTCCCAGAAATTTCTAATTTTGGTAAAAACCTAAAATTTATTTTAGACAGCGTTGTTCAAGTCAGGTGACTAAGTCTAACTCAACAGAGCAGCCAATAGTAATTCTGTTTTTATCTATTATTACAGTATTATGATATTATCTTAATGTTCTATTTTTTGACGTGAGTGACTATTTTCTATGAGATACTTTCAGGACATATTTGAGTAGCTTATCCTGTTTTTGTTTGCTATACGATAACTAACAATTGTTATTTGCTGGACGACTTTATTATACTTTTATTTATTATAATAAATATATAATTTAAAAATATTTTGTTTATTACAAATATTATCAATAACGTTTGTATGATGTCGTTGTTTAAAAATGTATTTATTTATTTTGTTGACCAATTGAATAGTTTTATATTTAGAATAAAAATGAGGATTTCTTTGATATTTGAAAATGCAAGGTCGTTGTTTTTAAAAAATTTAGTGAAAATTTTTTTTCTATTATAACTATTTACTAATTTATTAAAATAAAAATTCTGAAAATTGATGTGATGTTGTGACGCAAAAATTCCTGCGATTACTTTTAGTATCATTATTTATGTTAATTTTTTTTTATTTTATGAAAAAGAAAAGACAATTTATTTTAATTAACAGTTTAATTAAAATGAATATGAATGTATTATTATAAAAATTAGCAGTAATTTCAACAGATCATGTGATCTGACCATCAAACTATAACCTTGTTATAACGAAGTGGCTGGACATAGATATTGAAATAAGGCTTCACTGTATTGATAAGTTATTTTTTTCTCGCGCTGTTTACTTTTTTTTTTTTACCTTTTTCGTTAAATTTTTACCTTTTTTCTTTCGTTACAAATGAAAATTCGGAAAATGAACTTTGTATTCAAACTCGAAACTCATCTTGAATGATATGCGTTGCAAGAAGGGTTTTCTTATATAAAAACAAGAATTGGGTATCGTTTGAGTCAAGATGAGATGAAAGGTTTAACAGCAGAACAAAAAAAAAAAATGAAATTAAACATAGAACATAAGAGTGTGATTATAAAACACTATATTATTGCACTTTAGTTAATAAACATTTGCATAATTTTAATATTCCAACATTGCGAAGAGATACATTATATTGTAAAGGCAAGCTTCAGAACATCAATTAATTGATTTTAACAGAGGAAAAAGATTTTTTTAGAAAAAAATAATATCAAATTGAATTTTCAACTATTGAATAGATCACCACCATTATACAGTATTAAAGCCAATAGTGATCACGCTATCATGACAATAATGTCATAGAAGTCAATTACATAGAGAAAAGAGCCATAAATTAATTTTAGAATCACTCAACAACTATTAGCATGCTTTCAACTTGTGTGAATTAGATTGCGAATTGGTTAATTAATCATCCTAGATTTAATATTTGTTTTGGGAATCTCAATGAAATGAAATGTTATTTCTTTAATAATTTTTAATTTCTAATTCAATCTTTTGCAATAGATGGTGGCTACGATGATAACCTTAATATTAATAATAATGGTCCAGCACGGTTGATTGAAGCTCAAAATCAAATTAAAGTTTAGAGTTCGGGTGACATTATTTGTTTAGACAAATTAATAGATGCAATTTCAAATATTCACAATAAATAATCAATCCATTATAAAGTGATGGAATAAATAATTTAGGTATTTTATTAATACAAACATTTCAAAATTTAAAGGATTTAAACTTGAATATTAGGAATAAAAATGTTATAAAATCTTTTAAATCTATTTCATTCCCAAATCTCGAAATTTTGGAATTATCATTTTTTGTCTTTTAGACTTGAATTAAAAGTCATTCGTATGATGATAAACATTGGCCAAGAATTCCAAGACTATCGACTTCTAGAGTATTCATCAAAACTGGATTAGATCAAGAGTTAGCTTGCATATGAAAATTTGAAACATATTACATTTATTAATTGGAATTATATTTTTGATCGTGATAAAATATTCAAAAGTATTATTATTATTTTTTTTGAAGGATATGCAACTATTTCCGACAGTTATTTGGAACTATTAATAAATGACCTAATACTAATAATCATGTATTTTTCCGCAAAAATCATCCGAAAATCGCCAAATCAATTTCTAAATAAGGATAACACGCACCCAACCCACCAATAAAATTGGATACTTTCATGATGCTGCGCAAATTTGCGGATGTTTTTTGCGGAAAAATACATGCTTTTTAATGACATATATACCTTATTATTATTGAAAAACAGGGTTGGCACAACGTAGACTATTGATAAAAGGATGTAAAGCATTAAGACCTGGGATTTATAAATAAAATTTACATTACTACTCTTACCAAATATTATATTGCATATAATTTCTATTTTTTATTATTTTTTATCATAATGACCAT